ATTTAGAAGAAAAAGTCTTTGCAGAATATCATTATTAAAACAAGACATTTCGTAAGTATTAAAATTAAATATTTGGATAGATCCACGCCAAAATATATTGTCTCAGATGCATTTTTCAGGAAATAAGGGAAGAATTGTTCAATGTGTATTTCCATACAAACTCCAGGAGGTGTGTGTCTGACTGTGTTACTGGGTGGATATTGCTGTGGAACGGATGAAAACCGTATGATGTTTTTCCTCTTTCTGCTGAAGAGGATCTCCAGCCTTCGGGGTTCAAGCCAGTAGCTGTTGTCTTGGTGAGCACCTCAGAACATTGCTGAGTTAGGCCTGGCATATCAGTCGAGAAAGAATTGTTTTAGCTGCACAAAGACCTCCTCTGCTTTCAGAGATGTAGTAGATGGTGATATATCTCCGCTCTTGTACAGCAGATCTCTGGTGTTTGTGTGGAGCCAGGTATGTGAGTTTATTAGTGTATATACAATAAGTAGATCATTTTGGGTAGTGATGGATCACAGTTTATTTCACTGGCAAGGAAATGATCCATAACTCAGTTACGAAGGTAATTCCCTCTTGTATGGAAATGAATTGCATTATACCACAGCTTACTGATATATATTGATATCAAATGCATTAATTTCATTGTGACCTAGCTCCTCAGTTAATAATTACAACAAACATTAATGAGGGAACTATTCATTTTTGACCTTATTGTGGCTGCACCTGTGATAGGTTTCTGAACTCCTTCGATATCCACAACGTCTCTAGAAACTGGGGAGCGTGCTAGGGAACTGCTTTCCATTTTGGTCAAACATTACGTCACAGTGACATCACTGCTCAACTCACAGGCAATTTTCTGTGGGTTATGTTGCCCCATGAGATGTAAAAGGAGAACTTTTTTGAGAACTGTAATTTTAGTTCTTCCTTTACTCTGTAAAAATAAAATCAAGAACCACCTCATTTCTTTCACTTCCATTCTTCTTAGCTTCTGCTATTAGAATTGCTTCTAAAGTTGGGTGGCTTTTTTCCTCAGACTTTGCTGTCAAGGCATTAAAGAAAAGTTGAACAGATACCACACTATTTGAAACATTTACTCTACATTTGAAAAATATCAAAGACCAGCCTTATTTATTTATTTATTTGGGGTTTTACTTATTATTTATTTATTTTTTAATAAGAGGGAAACAGCTGAGTAATGATGGGCTGGAGACAGTGCTTCTTAAAGACACTTTCTCCACGAGGCAGTGAATCTCATTGAAAAAAAATTATTTAGCATCACCTCCTGATTTTATTCTCTGTTTTCATGGTCTCTTTGCTCTTCTTGTAGGTACTTAACCAAACAAGAAATTTCTCTGCTTTAGGCCTCCTTGTCCTTCTTTCTGTTGCAGTTGTGCTGTTACCTTCATCTGTGCTCAGACAGAATATAGATCATCTCTCTCCTCTGAGCAAGATCTGGTGGGACATGGAGGGATCAGAGATTCTCTCAGCTGCAGATGGGCTCCATCTGCATGGAGTACCTGTACTGAATCCCATACTCCCTGCTTCAGAGGGTTAATGACTGAAGTTTGGCCTTAACCCTCTCTTCTTATGTCCCACATGCTGGTAACAATTTAATTGGGTTTTCTGAGGAGGAAACATGTCAGCCACCATAAAACTACCTGTAGTGGTACTGCAGGACCTTTGAGTATGCCCGAAGTCTGCCGCTGCAGGTTGGTCTGGGACTTGTTGAGTTGCCTTATATTGCCCTGAAGGCCCTTGGAATAAGGGATTGGAAGCTACTGGTGTAAATTTCAGTTTAGGATGGTGTTTTACATCTTAGGCTAAGATATTTCCTTGAGCAGCCTCATCTCTTTCATAAATCTTTAGTTGAGAAAGTTGAGGGTAATGGAAGAAGTTGGGGGTAATGTTGTGTTTCATCCCTTCTCTCCTTTGTATAGGGGAAAGAGCAGAAGGAGTTGTTCAGGCTGTCAGTTTATCCAAGTTGCAGATTTCTGGGCTCAATTTATGCTGTCATTTGTGCCTCATTTCCTGCATTTCTGGATCAAAGACTGATGTCACAAGTTGGCTGATGTCACAACTTGAATTTAGGAAGGAGAACAACTATAAAGGAGGCAGCTCCTGCTTAACACGCAAATATGCTTGATAGTTGGTGAAAAGGGCAAAGAAAGCATGAAAGGTAAACAGATTTACATTTAAATGAGCTGAATGCTGGAGGCTTTCCCTAATGTAAAAGTCACTCTCTGAAAGTACTGTGAATGTGACAATACAAATGTTTTAGTCCAAACAAAATCCGTAAGATTTCATCAGTAAGAGAAATAAAAATGTAAAGAAATACAGACTAACTGGGGGCTTGTTTTTGTGACCCCTGTTTGTGTTGATGGAGACTTTCTGTGGTGTGCAGGGACTGTTCCCAGGGCTTTGGTGTGGAATGTGAGGTGAGAATGGGTGGCATATGCTCACACTAGCACTCAGTGGACAAAAAAAGCAAAAGACAGGTATACCTTCAGAGTACTTCAGCGTGCCATCTTGGCCTGCAGGTGGGAGTGAGATCATTATAATGCAGGCAGTGTGGCAATAACCTTGGATTTTCTTTACCTCATAAAAAGGGAATTATTCCTCAGCTTCACAGCAGAAGGAAAGGAACGGGAGTTGTAAAAGAAAAGCTATTTCCACAAGGTGGTAAAGAAAAAGGGTATGTTTGCTGTCAAAGCATAGATTTCATGCTGTCATTCCCTCTTTCCATCCTTCCTTATTTGTATCACTGGGTATGCCAACATGGTTGTCAGGTAGTTGATAGACAGTTGTTTACACATTACCAGCATTTATTCAAAATTTTTGAGCCTTAGAGAGTAATTTGAACTTCTTTGGTCTCCTTTGCTAAAGTTGTTGGTAGAGTTCAGAAACATCGTGGAACAAAAAGTTAAGATGAAAAGCAATTTGTACCATGCATAGGGAATGAAAGTATTGAATGAAATCCACCTAATTGGCTTCTTTGTAGTGGTTTCCTTGCAAGTATTTGCAGGATAGGCACTGATCTTTGGTATGAATTGCCAGCATGACTGTAATATACATAAATCAATAATATTTTTTCAAAATATTTTGAAAAATCATAAAATACAGCAAAACACCACAGGTCTATTTCATAAGAGTACATGTTGTTAAAGTCAGGCCTTCGTATCAGCATCTTTGAAAGATCATATAATAAAGTTTAGAATTCTTTCAAACTGTGTTCTCCCAAATGTTAAAAATAGGACCCTTGCTTCATGAATTTTCTGCACTGAAATTGTCTGAGCTTAAATATCTAATCCCTATTTTGTATTGCTCTTATGTGGTATGTTTGTGCTTTCTTAGGTTTAACTTCTGTTCTGAAGATCAGATTATATCTTTACGTGCTGGAGGAAGATTCACTACTGTTCATGCATATTAAAGAACAGTAGCAAATATTTTGTATTACCTAACTGAATGAAGAAATACTCCATGTGAAACTAAAAGCCTGATTCCATTGTTACTTTAACAGTTGTTTTCTCTCTTGTGATTTTCTGATAACATTTAAACTTATTTTCCCTGAAAGGAGTTTGCAAGGTTCAATACTGTATATGTGATACCTACTATACTGTTCTACATTTTTCATTCTGTTGGTTAAATTAGATCTTCTTGAGGTGTAAACTTATGTCTTCTCTGTCTGAATAAACAAGCTATAGATTATTCAATGTGTTTAAGATACAGATATCCACACATTCCACGTGTTGCAGAGAAAGTCAAATGTTAAGTGTCTTCCACCATATAGTCTACTGGTAATATGGTTTGGGTTTGATTTTTTTTTTTCAAATTTTATAAATTTATTTGTTAGAGATTGCAAGTAAATTTTAAACTCCACTTAATACAGAATAGTTATACTCTATTTTTGCTTTCTTGCTGAGCTGTAAATTAATGCTTTATATAGAAGTAGATAATGTTGATCAGTTAATGAACCTTCTCTTAATGTCTCCATAGTTTTTTTGCAAAAAGGAAAAATTTAAGTAGGCTTAATATATGTAGAATACGTGCACAGAAACACCATGAAAAAAAAAACGTTTGTTTACTGTCAGTTCCCAACTATCCTATTCGGGAATAGTATCTTAGATTTACATCACCAGTTGCATAACTCAAGGAGGGAAAAAGACAGGATCCCTGTTGGGTGTCTGTGTAGCTTATGCTGAGTAAATATTGACAAAGTAGTCTAAAGAGCAAACACTTTGACATTTGTAAGGTCCACTGGAAGGTCTTGTATATATTTATACAGCAAGAATGAGTGCAGCATACCAATTTCCTTGAACTAGCTCCTGACATAATTCTGCATGGGCTTTCGTGTTGAGAAAGGTAGGTTTAAATGTGAATAGGTCATTTGTTACTCCCATAATGAATATCCTCAAATTGCTCGTTGTTAGTTGTTTCAAAAGGTTGCTTCACCTGGTTTTATCGTCTCCTCCTCTAAAATAGAATACTGCTAATAATGATAACTTTAAAAAACTCATTATTTTATTATTGTAGCTAGGGATTTTTTTACTTTGTAGAGATTTTTGGTGTTTGTTGTACTCTATATTTATTAACAATTGAGTCTCAAATATGTAATGAGCAAAAAATGCTTGCTTAATTTAAATTGTGAATCTGTCTGTTAAGAAATGCATTAGGGGTAGGAGAAGCATAAGACATATTAATTGACAGACAGGAACTGCTGTCTCTGAGGTTGATACAAGTAATTTATTACTTTAGAAATGAATGCCACCTCCAGAATGTGCTTCATTAATTTCAAATTTAGTTTTAATTTCAAGCTGTTGCCCCTTGAGAAGAATAAGGTGGCAAATTATATTTGAAGAGCAGATTTTTTTCTTGCTCTGAAGAAACACTAAATTTTAACTGTTTAATTTTACAAATAAGTATACTTCTTTGGCTAAAACATTTGAGCAAAAGTATGATCAGCAGAAACTAACTTGCATCTTCTTCTCTTCATCATAGCCTATGTTTCAGATGAACTAAAAGCAGCAGCACTGGTGGAAGAAGATGTGGAACCTGATGAAAATGCAGTTGATGGGGAGCCTTCAGCAAAATATGCATGTCCTGAAAAAGATTTCAGTAAGAACTGCCAAAGCTACCAAAACTCTCCAGCAGCTGAATTTTCTAGCCATGAAATGGATAGTGAGTCACATATCAGTGAGACAAGTGACCGCATGGCAGACTTTGAGAGCAGCTCCATCAAAAATGAGGAAGACAGCAAGGAGGTCTCGATACCACTGGAAGACTCTACTGTATCTGATAGTTTAGAACAAATGAAAGCCGTCTATAATAACTTCCTCTCCAATTCCTACTGGTCCAATCTCAATTTGAACCTTCACCAGCCGATTTCAGAAAAGAACAATGGTAGCAGCAGCAGCAGCAGCAGCAGTAGCAGTTGTGGAAGTGGCAGCTTTGACTGGCACCAGACTGCTATGGCTAAAACACTGCAGCAAGTTTCTCAGAGCAGAATTCTTCCTGAACCGAGTCTTTTTAGCACAGTTCAATTGTACAGACAAAGCAGTAAGCTTTATGGCTCTATATTTACTGGAGCCAGTAAATTTCGGTGTAAAGACTGCAGTGCTGCCTATGATACTTTAGTAGAATTAACAGTGCACATGAATGAAACAGGACATTATCGAGATGACAACCATGAAACTGATAACAATAACCCCAAAAGATGGTCCAAACCTCGTAAACGTTCTTTGCTTGAAATGGAAGGGAAAGAAGATGCCCAGAAAGTTTTAAAGTGTATGTACTGTGGTCATTCATTTGAATCTCTTCAGGATTTGAGTGTTCATATGATCAAAACAAAACACTACCAAAAAGTGCCTCTGAAGGAACCTGTTACACCTGTAGCAGCAAAAATTATCCCAGCTACTAGAAAGAAAGCATCACTGGAGCTTGAACTTCCAAGTTCTCCAGATTCCACAGGTGGGACACCAAAAGCAACAATCTCGGATACCAATGATGCACTTCAAAAGAATTCTAATCCCTACATTACGCCAAATAATCGCTATGGTCACCAGAATGGTGCCAGCTATGCCTGGCACTTTGAGGCGAGGAAATCTCAAATTCTGAAGTGCATGGAGTGCGGAAGCTCACATGACACTCTGCAGGAACTCACGGCTCACATGATGGTGACAGGCCATTTTATTAAAGTCACTAACTCTGCCATGAAAAAAGGGAAGCCAATTATAGAAGCCCCAGCGACCCCAACAATAACATCTTTAGTAGATGAGAAAGTCCAGTCTGTGCCCCTTGCTGCCACCACTTTTACGTCTCCATCCAATACACCTTCTAGTGTTTCCCCTAAATTAAACATTGAAATAAAAAAAGAAGTAGATAAAGAAAGAAGCATTGCTGATGACAAAATGAAAGACAAAGAAAAGTCAAGTGAAGATGAGGAGAAGTATGATGTCTCCTCAAAATACCATTACTTGACTGAAAATGACCTGGAAGAAAGCCCTAAGGGGGGATTAGATATATTGAAGTCTTTAGAAAACACAGTTACATCAGCTATAAACAAAGCCCAGAATGGCACACCAAGCTGGGGTGGCTATCCCAGCATTCATGCTGCCTATCAGCTGCCCAATATGATGAAGCTGTCATTGGGCTCATCTGGGAAGAGCACACCATTAAAACCTATGTTTGGAAACAATGAACTAGTATCACCAACTAAAAACCAGCCCTTGGTGTCTCCTCCAAGTAGCCAGACGTCACCTGTGCCAAAAACAAATTTTCATGCCATGGAAGAATTGGTAAAGAAAGTCACTGAGAAGGTGGCTAAAGTGGAGGAAAAAATGAAAGAGCCTGAAGGAAAGCTTTCTCCAATGAAGTGTGCGACGCCTTCGCCATGCAGTAGTGAAGTCAGTGAACCCCTTAAGATGGAGTCCTCTAATGATGGTGGCTTTAAAAGTCAGCAGAACAGCCCAGTCCCTCAGAGAGATGGCTGCAAAGATAGTCCAACTGTAGAACCTGTGGAAAATGGGAAGGAACCTGTTAAGTCCATTGTAAGTTCTTTAAGTAGCAGCACAGCTATCATTACTGACCACCCTCCCGAACAGCCGTTTGTAAATCCATTAAGTGCACTGCAATCTGTCATGAATATTCACCTTGGGAAGGCAGCAAAGCCATCTTTGCCTGCTTTGGATCCAATGAGCATGCTGTTTAAAATGAGCAACAGTTTGGCGGAAAAGGCTGCAGTGGCCACCCCACCTCTACAGTCCAAAAAACCAGACCACTTAGACCGTTATTTTTATCATGTCAGCAATGACCAACCCATAGATTTGACGAAAGGCAAGAGTGACAAAAGCTGCTCTTTGGGTTCAGCGCTTTTGTCATCTACATCGACATCTTCTGCATCTTCTTCATCTACAGTGACAACAGCAAAGACATCTGCAGTCGTGTCATTCATGTCAAACTCGCCGCTACGCGAGAATGCCTTGTCAGATATATCTGATATGCTGAAGAACCTGACAGAAAGTCACACATCAAAATCTTCCACACCTTCCAGCATATCTGAGAAATCTGACATTGATGGTACCACAATAGAGGAACCAGAAGAGAGTACACCAGCTCAAAAAAGGAAGGGACGTCAGTCTAACTGGAACCCTCAGCACTTGCTCATATTGCAGGCCCAGTTTGCAGCTAGTTTACGGCAGACTTCAGAGGGTAAATACATCATGTCGGACTTGAGCCCTCAAGAAAGAATGCACATTTCCAGGTTTACAGGACTTTCAATGACCACAATTAGCCACTGGCTAGCCAATGTGAAATACCAGCTCCGAAGGACGGGGGGAACTAAGTTCCTTAAAAATTTGGACACTGGGCACCCAGTGTTCTTTTGTAATGACTGTGCTTCACAGATCAGAACTCCTTCCACTTATATCAGTCATCTTGAATCACATCTGGGTTTCAGGTTAAGAGACTTGTCCAAACTGTCCAGTGATCAGATTAACAGTCAGATAGCACAAGCAAAGTCACCATCAGAAAAACTGGTGACATCCTCTCCAGAGGAAGATATCGGAACTTCTTATCAGTGCAAACTTTGTAACAGGACTTTTGCAAGCAAGCATGCTGTTAAACTTCATCTTAGCAAAACACATGGGAAGTCACCAGAGGATCATCTTCTTTATGTTTCGGAGTTAGAGAAGCAGTAGCATTTGCTTTTGATTAAAATAACTAATTTGCTTTGAGGAAAACTGTCAAAGACGCCTTAAAGCTACTGTTTAGTTCTTGGCACATGTTCTTATTTTAACTCCAGAGTCGCTCTGGGCTGAACTGTTTTGTATAACTGTACAGTGTTTAAATAGAGATGCATAATCAGCTGTTGTTACTGGTAAAATATGAAGGGTAAAATGCAGTGGTAAGTGTTTGGAATTTTGTGTAAATTGGATTTAGTTGCTGTGCATCCCTCTGATGCATCAAGCTGCATGCATTAACTGACAGTTTAATTAAGCATTTATAACTAATTCTGGTGCACTTTTTTCATGTGACCTAAGTGTGCTGGTATTTCTCACCCTATAATCTTTAGCCCTCTGAGTACTTTGAAGCACTTTTGCATTAATTTGGTAAAAATGTGTGGATAAGGTTTTTTTAAACCCTTACCAGCTTAGTTCCGGTTACTAATATGAACCTCCATTTATGCAGAGGTGTCTCACACCTTGAAATTTAAAAACATAATTTTCACATTGAAACATAGGTGTATATATTGTATAGATTTCAAAATCTCTTATGGAAAATGTGATTGTGGTTAATGCCATTTTCTTTTTTCTTCAGCATTTTTAGCAACAGTGGGTTCTGTACCTGATAAAGCCCAGGTATAAAATGTACCTATATATAGTGTATATTTCATTTTTTAGATCAATGGTTTTTCCTTTAACATCCAAACATTGTAAATTATATGATAAAAGATACCACAGATAGCATTTATAAAGTATTCAGAAACATTATTCTTAAAACAAAGTATGTTTTGTTTTGCTATACAGTACATCTATATTAGTAGAGGTTCATGTTTAAATTATACATATTTATTAGTGTTGCTATCATTTTTTGTCTTTGGGGTTTTTTTTGTTAAACCATCTGAAGAAACAGAAGCCACGGACTGCATTCCTGGCATGCATTCTAACTGTTTTGCACAACATGACTTTTAAAGGTATTTATTAGTAAAAAAAAAAAACAAAAACAAACAAAAAAAAAACAAAAGAAAAAAACAAAAAACACAAAACAAAACAAAAAAACACAAAAGAAAAAATTCAAAATAAACTCAGTGCTCAAAGGGTTAAATCTATTTGAAAAACTTGTACTGTATTTCCTAAACATTGATAAAGCCTTTAAGATGTTTGTACTGTAATACTTTGCTTAAAAAGTTATGAGGCATTCTGTGATATAACCTCTTTTACTTATTTATAAGCGCTCTTTGTTGTTATTTCCTATTGTAGAATGCCTTTTTATTTCAATTGGTAACTTTCTGTTTTGTTCTGCCTAATTATTCTCCCAAGATTCCATACTGCAGCTTTATCTTTAGGCATATGAAAGGTAACCCGTGGTTACCAGCACACTAAGTGATTCTGTTCGTCTCCATTTTTGGCAGTTAATTTGCAGAAGTAACTGACAGCTGACACCATATGAGAATCTACGTATAAAATATTGGCATGTAAACAGCACAGACACTGTAATGCACTCTGTGCCCTGTTTTGTTGTTGACAATGAAGCACCATTATAAGACTCTTCATATAACCTTTTTTCTACAGCAGCATTAAAATTGTCTTTTTGCTATAATTTTGTGTTGCGTTCACAATTATGTCTGAAATGTGCTACGACTAACGAGCACATTAAAATTAAATTGTATGCTATCTGTTTATGACTGAAGCTTGAGTAGGTTTCTTCATCTGCCAGGTGCTGGCAGTCAAAAGCTGCACATAAATCAGTGGAGTTTTAGTGAACTTTAGCATTTAAAGAGCAGGGCAGCACTTATTCAAAGGCTGCATTAACACGTTTTTGTTTTTTTTTTTTTTCTCCTCCCAGAAAAGATAAATGAGCATTATAACTCCTTTTTAAACATCAGGTAAGGCTGACTGTGAGGACGGGGTTTATGAGCAACGTGTGGCAAAGCAAATAGGTATTCTGCTGTGCTGTATATTCAGACCCAGGCGGATACTGCTACTCGCACACCTTCCCCCGGAGTGTATTGAGTCTGCAAGTTGCGCTGGTGGGTATTTCATGGCTTAGGGAACCCCTCTCCACCTACCCAGCATTTTCAAATGACATGAGTGGGAACCTGAGACTACTGACTTCAACTTTGTATTTTTGAAGTGAGTCCTCTCATGGCCCTACGTGCTGTTGAACAGCATTAGCAGCAGATAGCGAGGGGAAAAGGAGATGAATAAACAAATGCCAGACAAACACAAACAAGTGGGAACATTTGATAATGACAGACTTTTACTGGGGTTGACAGGTCAGTCAGTCAAAACTATTGAAAACAATTTGCATCTCCACAGCACCTGTATTATAGTGCATGTATATAATGTCTTTTGCCAATCAGGTGAACTCAGAGTCTGGAGATGGTTACATGGGAATCAAAACCACCACTACAGCGCTTAATCATGTCTCAAGTAATAACTAGCATCCAAATGGCAAATATACAGTTTCCTTTCTTTAAAGAAAAAAAAATCCACTGTCTTCCAGTAAGCAACTAATTAAATCTTCGGTCCCATTCCCCTTGCCTCTTCCTCTTTCCCATTCCCTTCTCCTTCCCCTTGCCTTTTTCCCTTCTCTTTGCCTCTTTCAGCCTCTTACTCTCCTTTCCTTTCCTACTCCCTTTTTCTCCCCTTTCCTTTCATTTTCATCTTTCTCTGTAATAGTAAAGGCTAGCACCAGATCTTCAAAAATTGAGTGCTCTGTTCATCCAATAGTAGATACTGGTAAGCAGACCTAGTGAATGGGATTAATGATGAGGGCTCTGATTTTTTTCCTTCTCTTGGTACAGCTGTATCCGATTTTAAGGTCATTTGTGTGTCAATGTTTAATGGCCTCAGCTCAAATTCCAGCACTAAAGCTGCAGCATGCTGTTGTGCCAGTTGACTGTCCCATCCCAGGAGTCTCTCTCAGTTAGCTGGGAGAGGCAGATGAAGTCTTTAAGGAAGCCTCCTGGGTGGCTGTCCACACTTTCTGCAAATAGATGATCTCAGTCTAAACGCAGCCAAAATTTTTACCTCTACAGCAGAGAATTCCTCCTTTGAAAATTATAACAGCTTAAATATAGTATTTGGTTGCAAACCAGAAATTCACACATAAGGAGACTGGCAGATTATTGCATATATTGTCAATCAATGTATTTTTAAGATGCACCATTGACTTACAATAGTAATGCTAAAAACTCTGTACCCAACACTCTTATCTGGGACGTAGAAGGCAAAGGGACTTTTTATAGAGTATGTAGTGACAAGACAAGGGGGAATGGCTTTAAACTGACAGAGGGGAGATTTAGATTAGATATTAGGAAGAAATTCTTCCCTGTGAGGGTGCTGAGGCACTGGCACAGGTTGCCCAGAGAAGCTGTGGCTGCCCCATCCCTGGCAGTGTGCAAGGCCATGTTGGATGGTGCTGGTCTATTGGAAGGTGTCCCTGCTCATGGCAGGGGGATTGGAACTAGATGAGCTTTAAGGGCCCTTCCAACCCATCCATTCTGTGAGCCTATGACTACAGAGCCTTTTGCAGTGTTCCTTCTATTTGTTTTTAAAATACAGAGAAAGGGTCAATGGTTGCAAACACTGAATGCCACTGATAGAACTGCACCTAATCTGGGAAAAGTCAGTTCCTGGGCCTGTCTTCTCCAGGTCAGTGTGCAGTGAGGAGATAGACCAGGTAGAAATTCAGGGAGCAACCACACCTTTTAGTATGCTCCAGAAATGACTTTTTAATATGTTTTTTAAATATGCTTGAAACTTTGCAAATGACTGGCTAGTCAGGATCTGCATATCCCAAATTTATTAAAATAAAGTTCAGCTTGCATTTCAGAGCCTTGAGGACTGGCATACCAATGTGATTTTACATTATAAAGAATTTAGAGAATCAATGAACTAGAATAATGTTCTTTTCTTCCATACACTGATATGTATATTGGCATGGTAACTATTAGTGCTAACCAAATCACCAACCTAGCTATGTTAAGATAATTTTTTTCCTATTAGACAAACATGAAGGTATGGATGCTGGCTTTTAAAATATGCCTGCAAATTCTGACTTTTGCTTTGCATTGGATATTTTATTTAGAAATATGCAGATTGAGTGCGAGTGAAAACAAAATGCCTCAAGAAAGAGTTTAAAAATGAAATCGTGATGGGGTGGGAAGCGCTTTAAATCACAGGTGTATAAAGGTGACCCTGGTCTAACCCCACCCAAGTAGTGGCTTGTTGCAGCATACTGTATATCTTCCAGCCATCACATTTACGCAGTATCTTAAAATAACATTTGTGATAAATGTGCAATTTAACTAATTTATGGTGCTATGATGTGCTCAAGGCTACATGCAAGATGAAAATCTTAAATGGAGCTTGAACAGCTCACTTCACAACAAGAAATCAATATGCCAGATCTTAGAGAGCTGTTCACTGGAGTCAACATTTAGCAAAAAAAAAAAAAAAAAATCAGTGGATGTATCGTTAAGTTTTAGTGAGTAAGAAATCTATAATTAACTGAAATATGATTTTCAAGCTAGTGTCCAGAACTGTTTCTGAAACCAAAATCTTTCTAGAATCTTCATTACATTTTATTTTTGTATTAAAATTGAAAGCATATTGTTCTAATTATGCAGTTGCTTTAGTGGTGAACACTATGTACAATTTTTTATCCAAACCAAGGCAGATTATTGTTAGCAATATGGAAATATTTGTTGCATTTAATGTGGCTATGTATCTTGCTATAGAAAGCTAGACACAAATATGACTCTGCAATTTATGACAGCAAAAAATTTGGCTATACTTTGAGGTTTAAAAACATACTGGCACATATTGAAGGGAAAAATCTCCTTTCTTTAATTTTGCAAGTTCTTATTTCAGCTGCAACAGAAAAGAAGTAACTGGTGCAAGTGGAACAGAGGCAACTGATAATAAAGCTAAATTTAATTAATGCATTTTGTATTTTAAAATATGCATTCCAAAAGCTGTATGTATTTCCTAGAAAAACACGGAATTATTACAGTTATTTTTTTGTTGCTTAGTTTGGTTAATTTCTTGTTACAAGAATATACTGGAGCTTTGCTAGGTTGTCTGTTACCCACACTGCTCCCTGTAGAAATACAGGGAATGTTCCTGAAACTAGAATTTCTGAAGCAAAGTAGAAAAAAGTAAGAGTTTCAAGATTACTCAGCCTTTAAAAAATCACTGGATTGTTCTCTTAGCAAAGGATGAAATAGCTCTTAATACTTGACTGGACAGGTACCAGTTTAGCAGTGGAAATACAAATGTGTACCTCCCTTGAGTATTGCTAGTAAATACATACAATCTCAAGCAAAAAACTCCAGTAAATTCTATTCTCCTTGGACTTTGTGCCAAATGTGTCTCCCAGCCCTTGGCTGACCTGTTGAGGTAAATGAGAGAACAGCTATGGTCCTGCCATCTCGGAATCTGGAAATGACTGTTGTTTGCGTTGAGTTCTCAGTAATTATCCAATAATAATGAAAAGCTTATGTGTGTTAAAGACTATGATGCTAGAGCCCTCATTGAAGAGTATTTGCATAAGGAGTCTATTTTCTGCCAGTGAAGTTAAAATCAGGGTCATTTACGGAACGGAGCAGAATTATGTATTAACACATCATTGTGCATGTCTGAAAGCGCT